TGGCCAGGAGCGGAAGCGAGAGAAAAACTCACTTTGCAAGAAAAGCTCGCCTACGCCGGGATTCGAACCCATGACCTGACCTCTAGACTAGAAGGTTACGAGGCTACCAACTAGACCACCGGGGCGAACTATATTTTGATATTTTGTACCAAAAATAGACGGTACAAAAAAACGTGAGCTGAAAGATGGCGACCCCTTAGTAAATCATAATCTATCATCAGTGCTAATAAGTACTCTCGAAACAAGTCCAGTATCCAGTACCCAGCCAGCCGGTTTTCCTCCACTCACTGAAAAGACTCGACTCACCACATTGCACCACATCCCGTTCGAATGTGGGTATGTATATCTCGAACGGGTAGTCTTTCTGTGTGTCGTGTGTATTGAAAAGTTTTTTTCTCGGGGGGATGGAAGTGAGTTTCGAAGAGGCAGGGGGGAGTTCGCCTTTCAAGCACAAAGGGGATCGTCCCCGTACGGCTGTAGATGCGAACGACCTAGCGGAGATGCGATGCCAGTATACACTCGTCGAAAGGATGGATGTTCTCCGGGCTTTTATGCATATGTACTGTAGCCCGGGAGAAAGGCAAAATGGTCCAGCTCAACGCCCCGAGATACCACGCACCCGTCTTTCCTCTTTCCGGGCGTTCTCGGTAGCCTGCACAACCGGTAGAAGTCGCCGAGATCGTCCCGAGTAGGAGGACAGTAGTGGTACCGTACCGATCGGCTCACTTGCAAGCCAGAGCAGACGCGAGTTCACCAATCTCGCCGCCTACAGCAGGAGCAGGCAGCTTCCGCAGCAGGTCAACTACAATAGGTGAGCCAAGATAGGGTTGTTTGGGAAATGAGAGAGAGCCCACCCGACAGGAGGGTCATCATCCGTAGAGGGAAAGCTGCAATTATTATTGGACTGCTGTGTGCTAAAAGAGATTGTTCATGCTGCTGTAAACTTAATTCTCCGTTGCCGCGAATACCCAGAACAGGATATGTTACACATTTCATGACACACGCACACATGCAGCAGTGTTCAACCAAAACGGGGAATTGCCTCTCTCTCTGTGCGTGTGTGTGTGATCGATCTCCTTTTCATCTGTTCGGCGTTCTCAGGCTTGACGGCATGTATTTTTGGCATATAATTGTATTTACTGTTGACATGACGTGGATAATAAGGTAAGCACATCATTGTATATGTTCTTACATCATCATGCTCGCAACGAAGTGCTGCTGCTGTTCGAGACCAGACTAGTTGATGCGGCTCTCGCGGTCCCTTATCACGTCGTCAGCGAAAGCTACCTGTTTTCCGCCGGCGGTATTTCGTATTTCGACGCATTTGTGTGTGTGTGTGTGTTTGTGTATGTGCGTGTGTGTGTGTGCATATGTGTTTTTATTATTAGGATCGACCGCGCTGCTAACCTGCTGACCAATGAAAAGACGTCAGTATTAGTCCGGTTGAAAACACAAAACGTCTTGTTGATTGAGCCTGTTACCCGCAGGGGAGATGTCCCTATATATATGCTGTCTGGGAAACCGTAGACACAGGTACTTTCTGACGCTATGAATTCATTGCTAATTTGTCTCAGACTCTTTTCTATAGATAGAGATGGATTGGTTGTGTCATATTAAGAAAAATAAAAAAACAACACTTCTATCTGCCATGAACTAGGACCCCGTGAGGGGGCAGCATGGGGGAGGCTAAACTATCCTTCGGATCAAAGACAGAAACAGCAGCAACAGAAGAAAACTGGACGCGTCTACCAAGACTATTTCCTTGTACTCTAGTTCGTTTAGGAGTACTTTCACCAGTAGCCTCCTCGCTACCATCATTCATTCTGATCCCCATTTTGACAAGAATCTCTGGGCAGTTCTTCCCTAGCCCTACGTTCTTTGTTTTGGGGAAGGTCATCTGGCTCAAACCCTTTGCTCTCTTCCACTCCTCCATGTTTTCCTCCTCCTCCTTTCTTCCCTTTCTCCTTTCCTTCGTCTCCGTCACTCGTAAAAGAATTACCCTCATTACTATCGTTGTCGCAGGGATCCCAACCGATTGGCCCTGGTGGAAGTTGGTCGATCAGTAGCCCATGACGTTTGAACACATCGCGAGTTCGCATCGACAGAAAACGAGCTAGCTCGAAGGTAAACCGTCTCCGAATCCTGTTAGTATGAAAAGCTTTCAGGCGAACTAAGGCTCTTTCGTCGTCAAAATTCCCCCGGCAAAAAGCTTCGTGCGCCAAGTGGTTCGCGATAGCAACGATGAGTCGATTGGTGCCTTTGCCAAGACCACCATTCGTTGAAAAAGCAGCAAAGAGGGTAGATCTAGACGGGTTGAAAGTTCCCTTATAGTGATTTGCCTTACTTGCAGCTCGATCTTCGAGGGCGGATCCTGGCTTTTGGATCGACTTGTGTATGCTTCGACCTGCGGATGGGTTGACGATTGTTCCGTCTATAAGAACGGACAGAGTTCCTCTTCCTTCTCTCCTGCGTGTAATCCTGGGGGGATTACCAAATCCATCTTGTATAGCCCCTTTCCCCTACCAGTGCCCGTGGTAAAAGGGGAAGAATCCTCAACGGCGATGAGCATATGGCACTCGCGCAGTGTCTTGAGGACTACTCGAACCATCCTGTTATGGAGGAAGGTTGAGGCGCCGGTCTTGGTGCAGACGAGGGAGTGGGCTCGGCTCAAGCGGTCCTTGCATGGTAACAATGCACCTGCACCACAAAGTTTGCCTGTGTCGCAGTCTGCTCGATCGTGACTCCCCAGTACACGACCGATTGACTCCCGACATAGATCAGGCATCATTCTTTCATCTGCCGATAACCCTCGCGTATGTGCGTGTGTGTGTATTTTTATTGTTAGCATCGACCGCGTGTTTGCGTGTGTGTGTATTTTTATTGTTAGCATCGACCGCGCTAACCGGCTGACCAATGAAAAGACCTCAGTCTTAAGTGTGTGTGTATGTGCGTGTGTGTATGTGCGCTTTCTCGAAAACCTACACAACCTACACAACCTAGCATCCACCGGGCTAACTGCTGTGGTTGACTGATGTGCACGTGTGTTTGTGTGTGTACGTTGCGTGTGGAGCCTGCAACCGCAGCACATCTGAGGTGCCCGTGCGTCTACAAAGTTTTTTCGGGTACCGCACATACCGGAGTTATCGCACAGGGGTGTGCGTTAAATATTCTTGATCATATGCATATCGCCTTCAGGGTTTGAGTAGCCTTCGGGGTTTACTCAGGACCGCACATACTGGAGTCATTGCACAGGGGTGTAGTGCTTTTAACATCAAAATCCAATGATTTATTTCGATTTCCGCAGCACCGGGCCCAGAGTCATCGCACAGGGGTGCGATGCAAATAAATTGACGAAAGTGTTTAAAAGCGACCGCACGGGGGTGCACTGACTCGCAACCTTTGGTATTTGTGCACCGTTCATCAAAGTCACGACGGCTTGCTCGATAGGCTGCGCATGTTCTTCTTGCATGCAGCGATTCCCACCAAGGCGCCAAAAGCGAAAAGCGTCCTCTCGGGCGAAAGGTAGCTCCGTATCGAGCATAAGTCCCGAGGTCGATTGACAAGCCCCCCCCCCCCCCACC